AACTTTTAATTGTAGGTAAACAAGTTTTACCATTACTGGGGGCTGTTACCACAGTAACTCAATTAACCTTCACCAGGCCTAAACAAGAGTGCTTTGTTTTCTCCGTCACATGGAACTGTGATGCTACTGGAATGCAATCAAAACTACTCTGTTAATAGTCAAAAGTGGGTAAAATTAGACCATGTACAAATTTTTAAAATCTTGTAAGATCTCAAAACCCAGAATTTATGACCATCACAAATGGGATTGCAACAGCAGGTTTTCTTTTCCATGGGCCAGAAAATACCTCAGTAACTCACTCTCTTCTTTGAAATGATTCTCTCACAGCTTAATGTGACCACTAAAAATCCAGCTTAGTTGCATTGTCCTCAAAACCCTGCAAAAGTTTGAGTACAGATATACAAGCCCAGATTTTAAATGGATGTTCCTAGGCTAGGGGGCAAAATGTGTTTCGCGATTATGGCAGAAACATTCGGTTGGAGAATGGAAGTGTCGTTTATTAACGTTTTTAGCAAAGTCAAAGAAAGTGTGCTTATTTTTTAGTTACTGTTTTGTCCAAGTAAACGTCTCCAAGTCATTCTGCGACAACGTACTGAGGAAAAATGAAATCACGGCAAGAACAGCAATGTTACAAGCATAATTAGCACAGAGATTCAGCAGACATTAGACTGTGGCTTCATAATGACTCAGTGAAAAGCCCAGTAGAAATCTGTGTCTATTGAATGCAACTTGATGATACACTGCCAGTTGAACATCACTGCTTACTCCTAAAAGACTCACGTTAACTTTTTTTACATGCTATATTCTCTTGATAACTGGTTATATTCTGCCCTCACTAGCAGGGTGGACAGGTAGCAGAAAGCTAGCTGGCTAACAGGCTAACGCTAGGATAATAAAAAAAAAACTTCCAAGTTTAAGCCTTTAAAGAAAACGTTAACTATAAATGGAGACATATAACGTAAAGAAATGTTACTCACATACTTTAATGAGCTAAATACGCCCATATTTAAAGTAGAACAGACATAAAAATCCCATATAGCAACAAGCTAACCCTGCTAGCTAACACAGCTAGCTACCACGGTGAAAATTATTGAAATACCAGTTTAAAAACAGATTTCTACATTAGACATTAATGTGAAAAGGGAATAATTTATGGTTCTATGACTGTACCTGACTATCAGTGTAAACACAATTACAAAGTTGACATGAAGTTAATTTGTTAGCGTGAATAATTGGTGTAATGTTAGGCTGTAAACAGGATCCGCTGACTAAAGCGTTGATGGCTCAACAACATGATGTCTGTCATGATCATCTATGTGTCCAACCCTAACAGCTGCTACTACCAATATATTAATAATAATAACAATAATAATCATCATCATCATCATCATTTGTAAAATTAATAAGCAGTAACTAATAATTATCAATAATAATAACGTTAAGATTTTTTCTACTCGGTCATTAAAACGAAACGCCTTGCGCTTTTCTGGGTCTTATTAAAATACTGAAGACAGTATTCGACAGAATACAAAAACAAAAACATTCAATAGTTTTGGCCTTAAACTAAACCCAAAGTAACTTTGTCCTAATAACCTTATGCTACTAAAGTGCCCAGACACACCAAGCTGACGTTAAACTAGTGCCAATTAAGGTTAAATGCCCATCCTGAGTGATAAAGCTTTGCTTCTTGCACTGGTGTTTAAAAAAAAACAAAACCAAAAAAAATTATCAGGCTACGGGGCTCCCACGTGACACGACTGTCTAAGCACTGGTTCTATCATCAGGAGATCATGAGTTCGATCCCTGGTGATGCTACAGCCGTCCTGGCCTCGCTCTCTGGGTAGGTAAGATGGCCCCCACTTCTTCCCCCCATCACTCAACACGATGCTAGTCAGCGCAGGCACCTGTTAGCTGACGTAACTGGTGGCTGGCACATTCGTCCTAGTACATTCGTCCAATGACGTTGTGTTCGTCTCTGAGTTCAAAAAGAATCCAAAGAAAAAAAGAAAAATCAGGCTACTCTGTGTGTGTGTCAGCCTAAACAGCCGATCAGAGAACTCTCTCTTAAGACTTAACGTTGGTGCAGATTCAACATTCTCAACTGGCCAAAACAGTGGTGACAAGGACCAACTAGAGCCAACAGGTGACGGTTGGCCACCGGCAGCCTGACACCATCCGACCTCCAAAGCTGGCTTGGTGTGTGAGGGACTTAAGCCTGACATTTATCTTGCAACCTCAACCAGCGCTGTCTCTGCTCAACCACAGAACACCTGGCACAAACACTAAATAGTAGGCAACATAATACAGAAACTTCCAGATTTCAAATCGAGTTTCATGTGCCACGAAAGTTTTGAACACAAGTGCAAAACTGGTTCACTAAATATAACTGAAAAACAGCCCCTAACAGACTCATGGCTAGAAAAAAAAATGGGTTGTATCTCAACCTTTTCAATCAGATCCTCTGGGAAACCTGGGCCTTAAACAAACAATTACTTAGAATATATTCAAAACTAAGCTTTTTCTACATATATAAAGAGTTTAAAAAAACTCTTTAAAAAGTTGGAGAAAACAGGTTGTTTCTGGTTTTGGTCACAATCACATTTACATATATCCACCTATTCAGCCTAAAGCAGGTTAGCATGCCCAACCACACTGAACTTAAATGGAGTTTCAGCCTAAATTTCCTTCTGAATGAGATACACTACAGAGCAGACAATCAGAAAAGAGGTTATTAAAGACACAGTTACAAAAATAGCCTGTTTAATTCTAAGAAACGAAGTAAGGTTTGAAAATGATCACATACAAAGGAATTAGTACTGTTTTTTGTCCTTAAATCCACTTCAGAAGAGAAAAGTACAGGAATAATGTAGACCCTTTAGGCTCGCTTTTCCAGTTCCGCAATTTCATAAAAAAATATGTTAAAATATTCTCACAGTTCTACGTATTATCTGCGCTGCTGGTCAAAATCTTAGGAAACTGCTTTTGTCAGCCTTTCAGTAAGGTTTTAGCACACATTTAGAGGCCAGCTGAAACACAGACTTACTCGTCATTTCAAGAAAATCTCACAAGTTGGTCCATGAATAGCCTAACTGTGTCTCTTGTGCTCCGATTTAAATCTGCATTTGAGGGAAATATCCAAATCTAATCCTAAATCCTTGGCCTTAACAGATGCCTGGTTACACAACAGCAGCAGAGCATCATTGCCGCAAACGTTAAAGGGGAGCTCCACTGATTTTTCAAAAATTCCACATAATCAAATGGTTGAGATGTAAACAAAGACATTCGGAGCGGTTTGATGCGAAACGATCCGCTTTAGAGAAACTTGCTGAGTCAGAACTACTCACAGTGGTAGTGATACAAACCAGACGTATGAAGAGTTTAATACCTTTAAAAGCTCCCGCACACTGAATACACTGCTTGACGTCTGAGACTCTGTTTTACAGTAGTTTTGGTTTGGCCAAAAACATCCTGTTAATCCATTTATTGAAGCTCAGTCATGGCGGAGGGGTACATGTGGGGTGTTGCAAGGCAAAACAGACTCTAAAAAAAACTTTTTTCAGATTGTCCATTTACCATCATCAACATTACATATAAAAACTCAGAAGACACGTGTAGGTTCACTGGTGGTTTTGGATAGTAAATAAAATGTCTTTATTTGTGTTGCAGACATCATAACTCCTAGTTCCCATCACTGCCACAGTAAAAAAAGAAATCTGAGTCTGCACGATTCTTTACAATGAGCCACTTCACATCAGACCAATGTGAATTACTCTCTCTCAACCACCGAATTATGCATAAATTTTGAAAAATCGGTGGAATTCTCCTTTAACATCGTTAATACACAAATTATAGCTAAATTATAGCTAGTTATGGAAAGTTAACGACAACTACAACCCAGTGGTGACCCTACAATACAGATTATAGCTACCAAATTAAACACATCGACAATACTATGCCAAACTGCTAACGGTTACAACGCAAAAGCCCCGTTACAAGCGTGTCTGTCAGGGTTCAGGAAGCTTATCAGTAAACTTCTTCCTAAGGAGTTCCATTAAATTAACTCATTTTACACTACGGACTATCAGTTGGACTGCTAACTAGTTGACCATCATTAGGGTACTTTAATCTGAAACAGTTTTGGTGAGAATGGCGCTGTATTACTCGGCGCACACGCCCAAAAGGTTTAGCTAGCTATGCTAGCCGGCTAGCGGTTTTCCACCACATAGATTCTAAAGACGGTTACGTAGCTACCCAAGCTAACTGTCTAGGAGTTTTACACAACATGGAGATTAAAGGGTCCTTGGCCAGCTAACGTGTGGACTCTACTGTGTTGCCAACTAGACACTCAGACCATCCCGTTATCGCTAACATGCAGACAGTGAACTTAACGCTACAACTCTTGTTTAAGCCTAACAGGTAACCGGTTACCAAGCCGAGTAGCCAAAGCAATCACATTCCAACGAGGCTAAAGTTGGCTTCCTATTCTAATTTTCCCGTTCCACCTTAAATGGTGCTTCAGTTACATTCTGGCGCCCCAGACACCCGATTGTAACTGATGCACCATTTAAGGTGGAACTGGGAAATTCGAACAAGAAGTCGACTTCGTCGGTCCATGCTGTTCAATCTTGTCAACACTAGCTAAATTACCGCTTAACGAATAGACTTAAATAACAGAACAACTAAGCTAGAGCACACTTAAACCGACCTATAGCATTAGGTAGCTAACCGATTTTATCGTGTGCTAACGTTCCCCAGCTAACGTTATCTGTATTACGTTAGTGTCTGTTAGCTACCCTGGCTAAGTTAGCTAGCTGACCCACTAGCAGTTAGTGAGCCACCCCCAACCTACCCACCCAACGCAGACAAAAACGTTGGTGGAAGTTGGCTAACTGCCCAGGTGAAATTGGAGCACAGTCGATATAAACGGTTAAGTCTCAGTAAGCACAAAAAGGTCGTTAAAGTACACAGCGGACAGTTAGCCGTTAGCTAAGCTTACTCACAGAATGCCGGAGCAGGAGGTGCAGACGAAGGAGCCGACTGTCATGTTAGCGTAGGTCGGGCCGCGCTGGTCGCAGTCGAAGCACTTGCGGTTGGGCGGTAAGCTGGTCATCTCCCGGAGCATCTTCAGGTGCTTCTCCTCTTGTTTTCGCTTGGCACTCGCCGCCATGGCTGGGGGCCGTGATAAAAGATATGAGGGGGAAAGACGTAAAAAAAAAAACAAACAAACCGACAAAAGAGGTTAAACGCCACAAGCGACGGACGAACAGATTCTAGAACTGACTGAGGCGACTGGGGTAGGACAGGAGGCGCCGGGCGGCAGAAAGACACGCAGGAGGAATTCACGAAGGGCCTCCCGTTTCCAGGGAGGGAGGGAGAGAGGAGACAGCCAGTTGGGGGGCGCTCTCGCACCGCCCGCAGCTGCTTTCCGTTGGCGCCACCCTGCGGGCTGATGCTCCAGTTCAGTGACCTACTTGCGAAGCAGGGCTAGCTATAGTCTTCTGGGGACCCCATCTCGTTTGCTGAGGTACTGTAAAACTACAGGCTAACAAATAACAATGACTACCATAAGCTGTCTAAATTATATACATTCATAACTGACTAGTTTGTCTATAGGTGCTGATTGAATGCTCGTCTGGGGTTCTAATAAGTTACCATTTTAATTACAGACAACCTGCTCAGCATTCTGGATCCAGGGGTCTGTCCCACTATGCAGTGTTTCTTGCTTACCCAGCTAGATCAATCTAAACCTGGTGGCAGTGATGACAGTGATGCTTTTTAACATTATAAATGCTTTGCTTTCTATATTTTTAGGTAGTATCATTTCTTTTTCCTTTTTTAGAGACGACTCCTCATGTTTCACATGATTGGCTGCTCATAAACACTTCAATGAGCGCACACACAAATATTAATCACAGCCTGAGTGTTTAAACCTGGATTAAAGTCTGTTTGTTAGGTTTCTTGAGGCTGAAACTCAGTCTGAAAGCCTGTCTCAGTTGAACGTGTTTTGCTAAACAGACCCCAGATCCACTACACCTCGGCTTGTACTGCTACAAGCCAAAACGAATGGCATAATGTTCACACCACATAAAAGACAAACATAACTTTTTCCATTTAAGCTTTTTCTCATGATCTCATTTTCTTTTCTGTGTTTTTCCTCCAGATGTGTACATTCTGTTTTGAGACATGATTAACAAGTTGCTTTCTTTTTCTCATCACTGGAGCATCTTAGACAACATTATGGTACAGTAATAAACCAAGTTCTTAGGGAGCCCCCCGACACCTGCAGGGCCCTAAGTAGCTGCATTAGAAGTCGCTTATCAGGTAGAGCCGGCAGTGAGGCGAAATATGAAAAAGTCAAAATACATCTTTTCTTTTTTCCACAGCTGTGTTGGTTCAATGTGGTTCATAAGCTGTTCTCTCTTAAACCAGACAGTTAACACAACTGTGGGTGACCTATGAGCTGATTATCCAGCTCTTAATCAGTTAAATCGGATGTCGCTATGATAAAGCTAATTTCCACTAAGGATTTGCCGTGTTATGTTAGTGCCAAGTTAGCAGTGGTGTATGGTCACATTTCTCTCTACAGTTTCTGATATAGAAATATGATAAACATGTCCCACAGAGCACTACAGTGTCAGCAGAAATGAAATAAAATAACAAGGAAAACGAAGCACTAAGAAGTAAAAATGAATCATATTACAGAGGAAATCAAAGTTCATGTTTCTACAGATCTCCGGTGAGGGAGGCTGATTACTTCCTGTGAATGACTGGCCTTAATTCATTACTGATAACAGCCTTGCAAAGTCTAATCTTCAGGCCCTTTAACGACGTTTTGAAATGTCATCTTCTTCCCTTTTACCTAGAATAAGAAAAGGCAGCCAGAACTGTGTTCACCGCTATTTATTGCCTGATTTACTAAATTCCTTAAACGTCACGGTTTCTCCTATTAAGCATTTTTGTAAGAGCTACAGCCATGCGCAAAAGTTTGAACAGTCGGACATTTTGTTGATTGTCTAAGTGAAAGGAAGTCACACATCCTCTACAGAGAACACACATAACACATAAAAAAATATAACAAAACGTTTGCACAAGCTGCTTGCAACAGAAAATTAGAATGTGTCAATACATTTCACCAATAATGCCATCCTTAAAGTCCTCGCCACATCAACTTTCTCTTCTCTAATGTCCTGCTAACACAGAGACATTTTATCTCTACTTTAATATACACCATATGGCCAAAAGTTGATGGACACCATTCCTAACTATTGAGTGTATAAAATTAAGCTCAATAATGCAATCTCCAAAGACAAGCATTGGCAGTTGAATTTGTTGTACTGAAGAGCTCAGTGACTTTAAACATGCCACTGTCATAAGATGCCACCTTTGCCACAAGTCAGTTCATGATATTTCTGCTCTGTTAGATTTGTCCCGGTCAACTATAAGTGCCATTACTGTGAAATGGTAGCATCTAGCAGCAACAACGGGGCCGCCAAGTGCTGAAGTGTGTTGTGTGTAAAAATGGCCTGGTCTCTGTTGCATCACTCACTAAAGTGTTGCCTCTGAAAGCACCATCAGCGCAAGACCTGTGCATTGGGAGCTTGATGAAATGAGTTTCCATGGCTGAGCAGGTGCACATAAGCCTAAGATCGCTATGCGCGATGCCAAGCGCCTGCTGGAGAGGTATAAAGCACAGAACTGCTGGACTCTGGAGCAGTGGAAATGTGTTCTCTGGTGATGAATCATGCTTCACCATCTGGCAGTCCAGTAGATGAATCTGCATTTGGCAGACACCAGGAGAATGCTACCTACCAGAATGCATAGTGTCAACAGTAACGTTTGGTAGAGGAGGGATAATAGTCTGGGGCTGTTTTTCAGGGTTTGGGCCCCTTAGTTCCAGTGAAGGGTGATGTTAATGTTACAGCACACCAAGATATTTTAGACAGTTATATATTTTCAACTTCGTGGCAACGGTTTGGGAAGGCTCCTTCTTGTTCCAGCATGACTGTGCCCCTGTGCACAAAGTGAGCTCTAGAGCTCTATAAAGACATGGTTTGAGAAGTCTGGTGTGGAGGAACTCCAGTGGCCTTGAATCCAACACCTTTGGAATGAACTGGAACACTGGTTGTAACCCAGGTCTTCTTGTACAACATCAGAGCCTGACCTCACAAGTGCTCTTTTGACTGAATGGGCACAAAGTCCTACAGACAGACTCCAAAAGTTCTATTAATTATGACATTTTAGTCCAAACAAAAATCATAACACTTTTTCTATATGTGTTTTATAACTAATGCAATAGTGTTAATAGGTGTAGCACATTCAGATTTACAAAAACATGAATTTGTTCACAGAATACAACCCCGTTTATCCCTCATATTGGGAAAAAAAACACTTTTAATCAATCATCAATTAAATCTTAGCACATACGTACACAAATATATAATAATATGCACAATAATATGCAAACATGGCAAAAAGAAAAATCTTATCACAGAGCACCCAGGAATGGATGGATCATGTGTGTTTATCCAGGATATTCATGTCCAGTGCATGGTTTGCAAGTGCTTCCATCTCTCTATATCATTTTTCTACACAAAAAATGCTCCTGCATTTTTTCAGGAGGGCGCTTCAGAGTTGAACTGCAACTTCAGTGGGCTTGGAACCAGGAGCTATCTGCTTCAAAAAAGCGTTTGTGAAAACTCCAGCAGGTTCATAAATGTCTTTTCCTCAAGCAGTACAAGTTATTTTATCAGTTTGGTTAGTCTAGTGGTAGCAATATCTGCAAGTCTTACAATGCAATTGGAGCTAATTTGCTGCTAACAAGCACCAAGCCAAGCCAGTAAACAGCCTAAAACTAGTAACAACATACTAAGAGAGAGCAATTGAGTGTGCAAAAGTTTGAGCACCCTGGTCAACTTGCATGTTCTGCTGATTTTCTAAGTGAAAATACGCTAACACATCTTCTGCAGAAAACTTATTCCTGTACATTATAATACACAATTAACTTGCTGAATTTAACATATTGGCAAAACTCCTATAATGTAGCCTGTGCAAAGGTTAAGACACATTTCATATTTTATGTTTTATTTTTTTCCAAAATGTTAAACTCAGCAAATAAATCATGCACTAAACTTTGCACAACAATGCCATATTTAAGTTCACAGTAGAGGATGCATTAACTTATTTGGACTGGGGGTGTTCAAACTTTTGCATGCAACTGTATAGGTCAGTTAGGGTATAAGGTTTCTCTGAAACAGACACTCTTCTCTGGTGCCCTTTAAAAGACAGATCAGACAAATTAAGTTCAAAATGAGGTAGGAGACTTTAGTGGTGTTAGATGAACTGAACTAAAGCAGGTATCTGTTAAAAATACGGGTGCAGACTTTTTTAATGACCAAAGCAGTAAGAGTACAGTGTGCAACTTCTGTGGCTGCTGAAGGAATCAATATCTTACACAACGTCTTCCACACTGAAATTAATGAAGGAAGGTGTGAGAAACAAGGAGAGACACTGGATGTCTACTGATGTTCTTGTAAGCATAACTCTGCTCTTCTAGAAGTGGCCAAAGTTGCATTTTTGGTGAAGAGAGAAGAAAGCACATGCCAGGTGGAGAACAAGGAGATCAAAGAGTGCGTTATCCACTGGCGACTGCCCGGGAGGCCGCTGTTTGGGGCTTCTCTTGGGGAGGGGAGAAGTCAAAGGGTTTGCGGGTTTCCGTGTAGCCAAAAAGTTTCCTCAGAGCCACACGTGCTGCCTCCTCCTCTGCAGCCAGTAGAGTCTCGCCAGGGCCCTGAGCCAGCAGCTTTCGATCGCTAAAACACATACACGCAGATATGTAAGGAAATAACAACGGCTTTGAGAAGTTTTGCATTTTTTTGTTGTAGCACTAGGTTGGCTAACACACAAAATATTAAATATTTTGACAGAAAACACAAAACTGGTCTTAGATAATACAAATGATGTTTTGTTGATTTTCTAAGGGACAATAAGTTAACACATCCTCTACAGAGAACACACTTAAATAAGATTTTCTGCTAATTTTAGTGCATCATTTCTATTTATTTGATGAGTAACATATTTGAAAAAAACAGCATACAATATAAAATGAGCCATATCTTTTGCACAGCCCACATCTTGTTTTTTACAATATGTTGAATTCATTAAAACGTGCAGAGGTGTGTTCTCTGTAGAGGATGTGTTAACTTATCTTCACTTAAAATCAACGAAACATCATTTGATCAGGGGTCTTCAAACTTTTGCATATGACTGTATGATGTAAGACCTGTCTTGTGTTTGTGTTAGCCAGGCCAATCCACTACAAAAAAAGAAAAAATTCAAAATATGCACCATTATATTCCGGCAAAGAACTGAAGCCAGTAGACTTCAAGATTTATTCAAGACTGGAACTTCTATTACATTGGCTTTGTTTACATCTGGTATGAAAGGGGGGGATTTAATTTTTCAAAATTTCTGCACAATTCAAGCATTGAGATAGAATCAGTTGTTCAGAGCGGTTTGATGTAAAAAGAGCTGCACTGTAGAGAAACTCATCAACTCTCACTGATTTCTTAACAGTAGAGGGGATAGGAACCAGGTGTCACAATGTGTACAGAGCAAATACAGCCATTTTATTTACTATCCAAAACCACAAGTGAAACCAAAAGTGTTCTCTTAGTTTTTATATGTAATGTTAATAATGATAAAATAATACTTAATATGAAAAAATAAGTTTTCTTGGTGGGCTATTTTACTTTACAATGCCTGCACAAACCTCTCCATGAATGGTTTTTGGAAATGTACTTCTTAGTCCAAAAGCTTCCAAATACTATCAGAAAACAGTATTATCAGTTATCATGCAATGTATTTGTAACCATTTCATGTAATAATTTTGTGAGGTAGATTTTAGAGACATTACACACTTTGGACATCTGGTTCCCATCATCACCACTGTGAATAACTTTGATTCAGTGTTTCTCCAGAATGAAGAATTTCACATCAAACCACTTTGAATGACTTTGGCTACACTCACATTACCAGGCTAAAGTGGCACAATTTCTTACAATTTTGGCCTTCATGTGACACAGCTGTAATGCTTTTAGAGTTGTGTGGACACACAAATCTGATCTTTTAAAATCAGTTCTGAGCCACTTTCATATGTGCTTCTAGATCAGATACATATCTGATTCAGGCCATGCGACCTTAATTTGAACACTCAGATCGGAATTCATGTTTTTTTTCCACAACACATACCCTATTATTCAGTGTTAATGAGGCAGCAGCGCCAAACCTGAAGTCAGTGCCAGTAAACAATGCAAAAGCAATAATTTTTGCCTTCATCTTGCTCTAGTAATGAACAGCTGAGAGCCGATCAAAGTGAATTATATTTATGATGAAGGCTTGTTCTGCTGTTTTTTTTGTTGTTCAGGACGCACGTGGTTCATTCACTGATTAGAATGTGCGTGTGCTGGTCATTTCAGGACACAGGATCATTCAAATGCAAACCACCAAGTTATAAAGATCAGATCTGAGAAAATAGGAATTGAGCAATGAGTCTTGTAATGTGAACATAGCGTTAGTTTTCATTATAACTACAGAATTACACTGATACGCTGAAGCATATATGTAATTCAATATTAACATCTGCTCACCGTTAATGTGACTATAGTGATCGCAGCATGTTTATACTTGCCCTTTTCAAAAGCTGCTACTGTAGCCTGATCATATGATGCTAGACCATAAATGCAGATCACAATGCTCAACCACCTCAGTAACAACTATATTCACATACATTCTGTACTGCAGCTACAATTATCTTCTAAATGCATATACAGGAAACATCCAGATACATTTTAATGCTAAGTCTAAACCAGGGCTTGTTTGTAATGACTTTCCATGAAAGAGACTTAATTCAGATTTCCAAGTACTGTCTTTCTATCTGACCGCATATACCTGTAAAGGCCAACGAAGTAAAGTGGAAGGACAGTGCTGGCCCCGGCGGACTGGATGAGCCGCGGTTCAGGGAGGGCCATTCCTCTACGGGTCAGCTCCTCCACCAGCAGCCCCATAGGGTTCACCACCTTCCACATATCGAACAGGTCCTTCCCTATCAGCTGGGTCACCAGGAAATCCTACATAAACACACAGACCTGGGATCAGTATCATATAATCACAGAGGCCTAACAATATGGTGGAGAGAGTATGTATATCAAAACGTTTCAAAATTACAGGTTTAAAAGAGACAGAGTAAACAAAACTACATTTTCTTTGCCAGCATGTTATTTGTCAATGTGTCTGCCATCTGAGGAACTGTGAAATGTGGAATACTGGCATATCTTTGGAATACAAGTTCATTTTTTGTGAAAACGCCACCCCTGAGTGAAGGCTGAGCCGAACCTAGAACATCTACTGCTCCACCTCTTGCAGTCTGAAATTGACCCATTCAGATGCTGCATTTACTCGAAACTCGAGAGAACCGTTGCTGCTGGAGGTGGCAGAATTTTACATCATTACACCATTCAAAAACATGGAATATCCCGTTTTCCATTGTCTGTCTAAAGTCATGGTATAATATCAGCAGGACTTGCCTCTTTAACAGAGGAGAAGGGCATTTCTGGCCCCTTAGGATGTATTCAATTTGTTCTTTTTCAGTCAGAAATGCTACCCTGCTGATAAGGACAAAGATTTTAATGAGTAAAATGATTTTTGACGTCATTTACATAATAGCCGTATTGGAACAGTAAGAAATGAAGAATTTCATTACAATATGCTGTATATGTATTGTAACCATTTTAGATACAACATATTTTTGAAATCTCAGAGTCCTAACGCTAGTCACAAACATGATGGGTGCTGATAAAGTACTGAAGCACTTGTGCATAGCAGTTTAACTTGCTAAGCAGTGATTGGAGGGTTTAGAAAATAACATGGAGCTTGGTAGATTTTGATTGGCCATAATACAGTGACAGTGCTCACAGAAAACAAATCAAATTTTATTATCCCAGAAATGCAGCATAATAAATATCCTGTCACCATTTGATTAGGCAGGCCTGTGATACTGTGTCTGCGGCCCTAAGTAGACTGTATTATCGTAATGGAGCTGTTTCTGCATTTAATCTCATGAATGGAGGGAAAAAAAAAAAACTTCTGAAACTACCAAGGTCCAGACCCCGATGCCCTCATAGCTAGTTACGGCCATGTTCATTATATTTTTTTGTGTTATTTTAAAATGTTTTTTTTTTTGGAAAGTATGGCTGATCTTACCCTGACAAAAAGCCCCGCCCTCTCAGCTCCACTGCTCTGCTCCAGAGCACCAATCACAGCAAAGAATGTTCCCTGAAGGATGTTGTCTGGAACAGGAAACTCGGCGGTCATTGCCAGTTCCTCCACTGCCAGGTTCCGTGCCACATGACACATAACCTCGGACCCCGTCAAGTGACCCACAATGGCTGTAACCCCTGCCTCGGGCAGGTTAGGGAGATTGCTCTTGCACCAGTCTCTGAGGAAACTCTGTAGGTTAAACCATTCAGATAAATATATTACAGCTTGGTGTCATCAAGAAACATGGAAAAAGATTGATCTTGAAAAACACATGAACTTATTAGCTATGAGATCCAATTCTACAACCTACACAATTTTCGTGCATTTGATTTTTTTTTCGTTTTCTATCACCACCAAATATCAGTCAGTTCCCACACCACCAATCAGTGACCTCTTTAAAACATAATTGGGTTGAATGTGTCTATTTAGCCGTTCGAGCGTGGAATAGAAATTTGGCATGTCATAATTTTGCAATACCATCATTTATAAGTACCACAGTATACCTCGTTACCATTATACATACAGCCCTATTTTGGATGAACTATTCAAAGTTTATAGCATCATTTGTATCAGATTTCCAGGTTGCTAGCTTAAACATTAAATTTTAATCAGCTGTTTCTTTGTTTTGCAGTGACTGACAAGACAAACCAACAAAGAAATCATGCTCATTGGTCCTAAAAACATTTAAAAAAAAAGCTAAACATCCCCAAACTTTTGACAGGCAGTGAATAATAACGTTTTGAGACCAACTACTAGCACTGGACCTCTTATATTCTCTTTCTTTTTATGGACCTAGTGTGAATCCATGTATTGTCTGGCCTCACCAGTGTGAACTGCTGGCCGTGTTCTCTCAGCTCAGTGTTGTCTCTGAGGTTCAGAGCAGCACCTTCGGCGTCCAGGCCCAGTGTCCGCCGCCTCTCCTCCTCACCGCGCAGGTAGCAGGGGTTCACAAAAGCCGTCTTCAGCAGCTCCAGTGAGAAACTCTCCTTCAGCCGTGCGCTAAAAGCTTCAACCTCAGCGTGGTAGTCCCAGTTAGGCTGCTGGGAGCTGGAGAGAGGAGGAATACACTCACTCACTAAGAAGAACACAGTGAAGAGGGACTCTGGTACAGCAGTGTACCCACATGTATGTCCATCTGGGAGGTGAGGTGTGGGGATTGTACTTCAGTGTTTCCCTCAAATAGGTTATACTTTGGTTGTACTACAGGCTGTGCTGTTTTCAATTTGATGGCTATGTGAACACAGCTAGAAATCTGAGTATAAATGGCAGAGATGGGAGTAGCTAATTTATACATACACTGCCTTCACTCTAGAAAAGAGTAGAAAACGTCCAAACATTTAATTTAGTTATTCTGTTTACCCTAAACATCTGTCCTGCTGTCTTAAGTGAATGCAGTACAGCATTAGCATCACCATTAGCATAAGAATTCACAGCAAAGCCCTCTTCACTGCTTAATATTAAATGTTTTTTCTGTAATTTGAATTGGAATCTGTTCTGAGTTGTACACGTGAGATGGGACAATAACGTTACATATCAATTTGATTTTAGTCACATAGAACACAAATAAACGCTTGTTAGTGTACATTTTCACACCTCCTCATGTAAAACTGAACAGGGCTTTAGAGAAATGCATTTTGGACATTTTTGCTCTTGGACATTTCAGGCTGTAGACCTACCACAGGCTCAGAAATGGATCTAAACCATCATTATCAGCACTCACAAAAATGCCAGGTTTTGCCATCTGCCATCTGTTTTCATATAGGCTTGAAAGTATTTGGACAATTCTACCAAATTGGTTCAAACTGCAGTTTCACAGAAAAAAAAAAGATTACATATTTAGAGTTTAGATATCTATAAGGATTATTTAAAGCATTAACAGAGATACTAATAACTAAATATGTACAAAATCTTTAAATTAAAAAAACTTGTCCCATGTTTTCACGTCACTGTTGAAACACAATGGGGCCTCTTTTCACCTCACCCCAACAAGCGTTTTGCTGATCGGATCACGTTCACGATCACTTGCCGTATGTGTTAATGTGCTTTTCACATGGAAAAAGTACAATCGGATCTCATCTGGTCACACTTTGGGAACTCAAATTCCCAAAATGGTCACGGAAACAGTCACCACTAAAACATTTGGTAAAGTTTCAGTAGTGCTATTATTGTTTTGTTAGTGACAAAATGTAATGTTTAATCATTAATTTAAATCAAATTAAAGTAAAGGAAAAGCATTTTAGTCTTAAGCCCAAGTCTGTTAGAATGTTTTTTGAGCTCTGACTCACAACGAGTTCAGTAGAATGATCCACATACATTCAAAGAAGACATAAAAACATAAAGTAAGCCTGCAAATTAAAGTCTTAGTGTTATTTGTACGTAACTGACAACTACATAGCCTTGTAAATGAAAACTGTATTTGTAATATCCAAGTGCAATTATTGTAACCACACATATATATATATATATATATATATATATATATACACACACTATATATTATCACGAGTCACAATTGTTCACAGTTACAGTGATAAACCAGACATCTGAAGTATTTAATGCCTCTAAAGCTACTTCACGCAAAGTTTTCACATGAAATTGTATGAACACACTGCCTGAAATATTGATTTACGCGATAAGGTTTTGGCATAAAATCTAATTTTTTTTACACAGGGTCATGAAGTTTTAACATCATTTTACATCAGAGTTCTCTGAATGACTTTGTTTACATCTCAATGCATGAATTACGGAGAGATTTTGACAAATTGGTGGAGTTCCCCTTTAAGTGCACAGTTTCTAACAGCTCATATTTCTTAATCTGGTATTTTCTGTGGCAAAGAAATGGCTGTAGGAGAAGAATTTTGAATGCAAAATTAAGTTGTTCTTTTCTACCAGAGCACTTTTTTAGATAATTTTTGCATTAGCTAAATCGCTATATCCTTGGTGTGGGGCAGCACGGTGGCGCAGTGGGTAGCGCTGTTGCCTCACAGCAAGAATGGCCTGGGTTCGATTCCCGGCCGGGTGACCAGGCTCATTTCTGTGTGGAGTTTGCATGTTCTCCCCGTGTCTGCGTGGGTTTCCTCAGGGTACTCCGGTTTCCTCCCACAGTCCAAAAACATGCAGTTAAGCTAATTGGATGCGCTAAATTGCCCCTAGGTGTGTGTGTGTGCATGTGTATGTCTGTCTGTCTGCCCTGCGATGGACTGGCGGACCTGTCCAGGGTGTATCCTGTCTTCTGCCCAATGACAGCCCAATGACAGCACCCCACCGTGACCCAGAAGGATAAGCAGTTCAGATGATGTATGTATATCCGTTGTAAACTTGCTCACTCAAAGGCCAGTTTAAAGACTATGAAAATCCCCTTCTGATGATGCATACTGAAGGTGGGAAGAACTTCTGACAGACTATAAGCACTTTGGGCAGATACTTGAATGCAGGCTGTTAGGAGACGTGTCAGCCTCTTTATCAGTGGCTCTGTTTGCAGTCAGGATCTCTTTATCACAGTGGGGGGATTCTCAGTGGTTTAACAGGTATTCTGGGACTAATTCCAGACGCATTTCATAGCTCCCTAATGGGATCTTAAGGTGTTCTACAGGAAACTAGTGGTCTCCAAAGACCACTCCATTAAAGGGGAATTCTACCAATTTTTTATAATTTCTGAATACTTCATTGCAGAGAAACATATAGACTGATTTCCTCACAGTGGTGACAGGAACCAGGGGTCACAATGTCTGCAACACAAATACAGACATTTTATTTACGTACACGTGTCTTCTGAGTTTTTCTATGTAATACTGATGATGGGAAAGTTTTCTTCTCGGATTACTTTGCCTTACAGCAGCCTGCATGTAGCCATCCACCACGAATAGATTAAAATACATTTTAAGCCCAAACTTAATCACAAAACAAGGTGTCAGACATCAAGCACTACATCTAATCATTTCATACAATATCGGTCAGTGAGGGAGCTTTTAGAGGCGGACGTCTGGTTCCCATCACCACCACTGTGACTCCGTTTCTCTGGAACAGAGTTTTTCTCACCAGACCACTCTGAACGACTTAGTTTACATCCTAACCATTTATCTATGGAGACATTTTGAAAAAGCTGTGGAGTTCTCCCTAAGCCAGTTAAGAGAGAGCAAACTTGTCAGGTCTTCTCAATGCCTTCCAGTGTGAGTCTAGAAAAAGACTGAAGCCTCTAGAAAAACAGGAGAAGACGTGAACGAACAGAACAGTAGTTTTTTGGACACCGTTACAACATCAAGCCTGGAGGAGCATCTTTCCTTCTACCCAAACGGCCTTGAGCTCCTCCTCCAGCCCAGGGAGGTCTGACTGAAGCTGAACTCACCGCGGCTTCGGCTCCGGCTCTCCCTCTATCCTCCTCTTCCTCTCCATGATGAGCGTGTAAGCCTTCATCCACCTCTTCTTCTCCCTGGTCTGACTGAGGAGGACATTCCTGCACACATGTCCATGACCGAGCACTGACACACTCCGGCTCAGGAGCCTCCAGCACGCCGCCATGTTCCACCAATCTGGAGCAGCATCCGGAGAAAGTCTAGCGCTAAACCGACTACAGCGCCCTCTGCCTTTCGGAGGACTGAAGAGACGCATGGGGGCGTTCAAAACCGTCCACCTCGGCTCGCTCCCTAGTGTACTCGCTTGGCCCCGCCATTTTGTAGTCAATCTAAAAACAGAAGCTGCGCCCTATCCCCTTTACACCCGAAACACGTATCACAGAGCCCTTTAGAGGTTTCTGATGGGTCTCGGTGGTGTCTAATATCAGTAATGGTATTTTGCGTTTACCTGGTGGGTTCATATCTTCGACTACGACGGCGTTTTAAGGCGACTGTTAATAAAAATAAACATAGTAGACCTCAAGAAGTCGTAATATTTCGAGGATAAAGTGGGCTAACTGTAGGGGGACTGTTGGGGTCTCGGTTGCTGTACTGCTGTGCAGGAGTTCCACTCACTCTTGTCTCCTTCATTTTGATTATCATTCTCACTGTCTGTGAAACTTCATGCCCTCTTTGAATGGCGCGGAGATGTAGCCATGGCTGTGTAGACGACCCTGCCTGCGATTGTCCTTCAACAAAACAGACAGACAGTTCCCTCAGAGTCCGTCTGGCTCTTTATTCTAGATGAACACAGCCGTTTTTTATACTAATAACAGTCTCTCATTTTAACACGAGGAGGTGCTGCCTTCCCTTTGCAGAGCCTTTGGCCGCCATACTGCGACTTTTCCTGGTATTAATGCCACTTTAATGTCGTAATTCTACGACTTTATTCTCGAAGTCTACTGCTTTTATTAGCAGTGGCTCTAAAACGCCGTCCTGTAATCTAGTAAATGCCAGTATCTGTGACCAAAATCTGTATGGAGATGGATCCTATCAAAACAATGTTATATATCTCGTGTATTTGTAAGAAATCTCATCACAATTGTGCACTTGTGACTATCATGACCCAGGCGTGTTCACGAGGACTAGATATTTAGTGAGGTTCCCATCACCACCACAGTGAACAGTTCTGTGTCTTTACACACTGCACACACAAAAACTATGGTTCTTCAAGTGTTCTTTAGTAAAGAAAATGGTTCTATATAGAACCATGAACATTCAAAGAACCCGTTCCATGATTAAAGAGTTCTTGCATTGTGATAAGGTTCTTCAGGTTGATGGAGAATGTGCCGTCGATGGTTCTATATAGAGCCTTTTTAAAAAGGGTTCTATATAGCACCAAAAATTGTTCTTTTATTCTTACGATGTCATTCTTGCTGCAGTAGAAGAACCCTTTTTGGTGCTAAATAGAACTTTTTTTTTTAAAAGGTTCTATATAGAACCATCTACAGCATGTTCTCCATCAATCTGAAGAAGCCTTTCATGATGCAAAGAACCCTTTAATGATGCAAAGGGTCCTTCGAGTGTTCATGGTTCTATACAGAACCATTTTCTTTACTAAAGAACCCTTGAAGAACCATCATTTTTAAGTGTGTAGAACGCACTGTTTTACATCAGGCCAATCTGAACGACTGCTTACATCTTAATGATTGAATTTTGCAGAAAGTGAGTCAATTTAAGTGTTCTTGCTCAGGGTAAAAAGGCCAAATGGTAAAATGTAAATTCATTCTTTCATTATTCCATCCATTAGTAAAGGACTTTGTTTACTCCTTCCACCACTCCCCACCAAGATGCAAAGACCAGAAAGCAAAGCCCAAAATGCTACCATTGAACTACTGTTGCCGTTTATTTAAATAAAGGTTGACTATGGTACAGTGTATATGGCGGTGCGAGCAAACGTCTGAAAGACAGAGACAGAGATGATGCTCTGTGAGCTTCATTTAGCTGTTTGTAATTAAGGTCATCCCATTCCGAACGTCATTTTCCAGGTAAACCAAATCACATCCTTAGCAAACACAGAGCAGGACAAGGTAAAAAAGGTACCTGAAAAAACAAAAATAACCTCCAAAAAGACTGACCTCTTTGTTCTTTACTTTAGATGACAAGGCAAACATCACACAGCCCAATTTGATTCACAACTCAAAGTGAAGTTATATTATACAGTCACAAAAGACATGAACAGCAAATATATGATTTATTTTCATACATCATTATATTACTACTTCAACAACATTCCTTAAACACTATTACTGACAGCCTTCAAAGCCCTGTGGAAATATCAGTGCATCCCATTTTCCCTGGGTCCATATTTTATCCCACGATTCGGCGCAAGAGCTGATCTAAGATCAGGTGGTGTCTTTCTAACTAACCACACTTTTAAATAAGCAAAAGTCAAAACAGTTCCAAGATCAGCAACCTTGCACTGAAAAGTATGACGAATATAATGCCTGGTCGTCTTAAATGCTGCCATTGTGATTAACTCTCTTGCCTAAACAGCAAAATTCCTGCCTGAAGTAACATGAGGAAATATATATATACACACACATCTTGGTCATGCCGGGCCTAGCTGTGCTAACAGAATTATCTTTAAAAACATTACAATCAAAGAAAAAAAAAACAAGACAAAAAGTATGTAAAAATAAAAAAATAATTTACAAAGACATGTTCAGAGTAAAAAAGAAAGGGGGAAAAAGAAAAAAAGGATTTTTGGCTCCAAATGCCCTCCTGTGCACACAGTGAGGCTTGCGAGCTTTGAGACAAGTGCAGAAAATAAGTACATTTGGCTAACATTTGACACTTGGAATAAAGGAGAAAAGCTTTGCTTAAAGTCCTCCCCCCCCAGGGCGGAGTCTCAGCTGCCTTAGCGGCGGAACCACACCCAACTGTTGATAAGCCAAAATGCAACAGTAACAGAATACATGATCATTTCACGCTTGGCCCTCTCTTTGTTCTCTTCCTCCAACAGCTGCAGGCGCCGGTTCAGCTTGATGATCTGTAGAGGCAGAGTCGATTACCGTTAATTACTGTACCATTTAAATCAACACTAAGTAACAACATAAAATCAATTACATTTATGTGAAGCTGGTTATGTGAAGCCTCTGCAGTTCTTAGCCTGATTTAAAACCCAATATGCACTTTGACAAATTTTGACAATCTGAAGCAAATTTCCAGGTTGGGAGCTCGACTGGAAGCAACTGACAGTGAGGATGATCTAGTAAGAAAAACAGGTCAGTCTTTACATTGTGTCCACTGCACAGACATTTGGGGAATTTTGCTCCCATTCATTTTTAACAGGGATTAGCGAAAAAGTGCACGAGTGATTGTAGGATAGTAAGCGTGACTCCACCGCAGCGAGAAAAGTTGAGCTGGCTTCAGCTTTATGCAAATAAAATTAGAGGTCTGCAATCCCACTGGACTTCTGCTGGACTCTTGGGATCCACCACAATATCTACAAACTAATTTTCAGTGTTGTGCGCAGGAGCAGGTGGGTAACCAGCCCACTGCAGGCAGGAGAGGAATGAAGCACGAATGAAGAGGCCTTCAGTCCGACGGCCACAGCTACAGCCCAGGCAAAATAACCATTCTGTGGTTTAATTCCTGCTTTGTGTTTACTGGGAATAAATGGCGTTTGGTGACGTTACTTCATAATAAGCCTGATGACCATGACTACTGTGTTATTTCAGCAGAAAAAAAAGGGAATTGTGCATAGACTAGGTCAAATATTGGATGTCAGTTTCGCCTTGATAGAACTGTGTGAGCGTGAGCAGGCCAAAACCCTTTGGATGCGGGCGGGAGCAAGACAAATTAATCTGATTTTCTATGGGATCAGGCTGGAGTGGGACTAAAAAACTGTCCTGCGCAGACTTCTACCATAAGGCTTTCGATCAAGCTCCAGAGTGACTGGAGGCACCAAAGCTATTGGCATTTTGTTGTTTTTTTTTTTGGACAAAAGAATACACAAGTCCTGTAGTCTGAGATGGTCAGTGATGCTTGAATGGCTCATTCAGTTACAATACCCAGCGAGAGAGCCAGAAAAGAGAAGAAAGGGTTGTGTATGCATGCCGGGTATGCAGTGGACCGCAGAAAACAAGTTAGTCCTAAACAAGTCAGTATGAAAAGTAACTGACTGTAGCAAGCCCCTATAGAGAGTACCCATCTGCAGCCAGATGCTTCCCTACATTTTTTCTACTTTGGGAGTATTTTTGTGTCAAAACGACTCAAGTCAAAGTCGACTCGCCAGTGGTTTTGTTGACCTGAGTGTCAATTTGTCAAATTCTCTTTGTCTAATCAAAACAAAAAGGCAAGTATGCGATGCTCTCTGTTTGTTAAATCTGTTATGATTTCATAAGTCGTATAGAGGTGACTACCAGCACTAACAACATCCTCCCAAATAACATCCAGGCAATGACTAAAACCTTCCTTGAGATATTTCTGCCATGTGTATGGGTTTGACATGGATTGACCATTTAGCATCCAGGCAATGACTAAAACCTTCCTTGAGATATTTCTGCCAGGTGCATGGGTCTGACATGGACTGACCATGAGTGCTGCTTCATCTGTTATCGGTCTGATGCACATCTGTTTGAATTCAAGCCTGGAACTGATTTGGTATGGTTCTACTTTTGATCAGATCTGGGTTGATCTGAAACTGGTTAGGCTCTAGCTTGCATTTGATTTGTCCTGTATGAGGCCCTGATTTGACAGTCTGGTGGAGTTTGGGTCTGACAGTGAAAGAGTTACCTGTCTCCTCAAAGCTGTAGCATCAACCACAGCCATGTCGTCTACTCCACCCTCCATAGTCGTGTCCAGTGTGGATAGTGCATACCTGTGAGAAATAACGTGCATTTTTTTCACTATAAACAACACATACCCTAAACATACAAGTCACCACTGAGTTATTTGTATCTGACATTGAACATGTCAGGCTGAAAAGGATGAGAAATGGGAGGAAGGAAGAGAAACGGTGTGGAGAAAAAAGGCAAGAGGGTAGAGGAGTTTACCTGTTATCATGCTGGAGATTAGAGGAAGTGGAACCCCCTCTCAGAGAAGGCTTGCTAAGGAGGAGGAGAGAGGGAGAAGGGGCGAGAAAGGACAGGAGAGGAGAGGTGAAGAAGTGATGAGAGGAAAAAAGAAGAGATAAGAAAGGAC